ATTGCCATAAAACTTTGAAAAAAAATCTAATAGTGAAATGTGTACTTCAAATTCAAGTTCAGCATTGTTCCTTTGGCTGTCATTAATTCAACACAATTGATATTATCACCACTTTTAGTTAGGGCTATTTGAGAAGTATTTACGTTCACAATGAGAATGTATACAAAATAAATAGCAGGAATGCAAATCTTCAACTTTTGAAGAAGTCATAATTATATACCTAGGAAACACGAAAGTATGTTTTCTGAACTGAAAAAAAAATAAAAATGATTGCAAGGTTGAATAATTTATTGATGAAAAAAAAGAAGCAATAGTATTCTTCATACAAAGAGTAACCGAAAGATAAATATTGTCAAGAGCAGCTGAGCTGGAGGTTGCTCAAGGTGGGGACTTGAGGGCACAGAACACCTTGGGGAGCAGGTATTCCACCCCAACAATGGGGACATGGGAGAGAAGGGAGCTAGTTAAGCAAAGAGGCATCATGTGACACCAACCTGCCAAATGTGTAAACAGGCACACCACAGTGGTTGAGCAGTTTCTTTTCTTTCATCCCCAGAGAGGCTTCATCTGACCTCACCTTTCTCTGCACGGTCTCTTACCTTTACTCTGCATCCCCTTAATATCCCCATCCCTGGACCTCCAAGCACTGCACTGGAGCATCCTTCAGGATATTTACACAAATTTCAGAGGTCACATTGTCATGAAGTGGTGTTATTATATTGGATATAGTATATGTATTGTCATTGTAGATGTGGTTTTTTTGTTGACTAAAATGTAGTTAGGAAAAAAGTCATTAAAATTAATTTGTGAATAAATAACGTGTAAATACACAATTTCTAAGAAGATGAATAATAAAGGTACACTAGCACCAAGACACATGCTCAAATATCTTATCAAGCACTTTACTAGAATAAAATAAACATAAAAATAACATGATAAATAAAGAGATAATAAAGAGATTAATGAAGAGATGAGAGTGAAGGGTCTAGCAGCACTCTAGAGCTGTGTTTCTGGGAGAGGGAGCCCTCAGGATGGAAATCAGGACTGACATCCTCTCACCTGACAGGAATTGCCCCTAATGGCTACCAAGGAGGCTGGCTCCAGGCCATTAGGTTTGCTAACAAAAGTAAGAGCTACTCCCTGGCTTCTAATTCCTCTGTGCAGAGATTTCCTTCCTTTTCCCAAATCTACATGTCTCCCCAGTTCTCTCATTTACACCTTTCCTTTCCATTTGGGACTTTTCTATCATTATCATCAAGTTTTGTGTTTTGCAAGAATGACAGTCATTTGTTATCTCTTGTGGTAAGGGACAAATATTTATTTAAAAACAAATTGAATTGTGTTCACATCACCAGCACAGATACTAAAGTTGGAACGATACAGAGAAGATCAGCATGGCCCCTGCTCAAGGATCACATGCAAATTCATGCAGTGGCTCATATTTTTCATAAATTTGAGGCATTTGTAAGAAAATGGATGCACCTGGAAAATAAAATGTTGAGTGAAGTAAACCAGACACATAAGCTGAAATAACAGGTGGTATACTTCCTTTGAGTGAGGCAAAGCAAAAGCAAAGGAGATGGACAAAAGTGACAAGAGGACTGATCTCTTGCAATGGAAAGTGGTTCAAGGGAACGAGGATGAGAGGTGGGAGCAGGGTTAGGGAAAGAAGGGCAGCAAAGGCATGCCATGTGCAGGAACCTAATAACCTGGGAGATGCGGCAAGATATATGCAGCCATCGCTCTCCGCAACTGGGAGTCTAATGGGTCTTGTCTGCAGTTCTCCATTCTCCGCCCAGGGCTGCTCTTCGCTGTGGCTTCTGCCCTCCCCTGCAGCACACACTCTTCTGCACGAGGCTCACATCAGTCTTGTCTGCTCCGCAATCTCCTTAAGGTTTCCATTTCTCAGGCAATACTGCTTCTGTTTATCTTTATCAAACTTTTATTAAATGTAGGGGGAAAGTACCACTTGCCAACATATTTCTTTTTCTTCTTCTTTTTTTAAATCCTCTTTTGGAGGCTCAACAGTATCTAACTTAAACGCTTGTCAATGTTGTTTTTTGACATGCACCTTTTCACTTATCACACAGCGACTGGTTCTCCACTGGCTGAATTCCATCTCCTTCCATTGCTTCCTAATGAAACCTCACTGTGCACTGGTAGTCAGCCTTCCCTTTGGAGCAGGTGATGCTTCACTACTTTCACTTAGCAAAGTTCTGGCTTCATCTGGTAACCTGGAACCTGGATGTCTGCTTTAAAGTAGTTTGTTTTGTAAGCTGGGTACATTGGTTGTTTGATTCAGTGGTCTTTGGGTTTGACATTCTTCTCAAACACATGGTGTTTGTATTTGCTTTGTCTTCATTACTTTAGCTTCATAAGATGAACTTGTTATCTTAGAAATTTTACTGACTTCCTTACAAGAGTAGATTAACAGAAATAATAAATAGTGTAAGAATGACAATATATTTCTAGTTTTATTATTTAAAGCTAGAAATTACTTACGAGTTTCAAAGTATTGTAGCTTTATAAGAACCTTATGTATGTCACACACACACACACACACACACACACACACACACTCTACTCACCAAACTCAACCTGCATTAATACCAGTCTTATCAATCATCCTCATGTGACCACTCCAGGTCTCATATCCAGCACTCACTGATTACATAAAATGGGAAGGAAATTGGTAAAAAAATAACCTCCAGTTAGCTGTGCGATTCCTATGGTGTGTACCCGCAGTCCTCAGACTTCAGCACTTGCAGAACTGCCTGGAGGGTTTATTGTAGCACTGACCACTAGATCCAGGCTTTGGACTCAGCAAGGGCGGGGCAGGGAAAGGTGTCCTTCTGTTATTTCCTGATTTATAATGATGATGTTGACATGTAGATGACATTAATCTGTGCTCATTTAAGGACACTGTAAACATTGTATCTTAACTTCACTTGTTTTTAACTTTTAAGCAGCATATTGATTTTCTTAAGCTCTAATTTTGACTATATATCTATAGTTTTTTCCTGAGGGGTTTTGTTTTACACATATGTTCAGAATGAATTGAAGACTAAGACAAAAGCATCTGGCCAATGATTGTCAACATATTGGTCTTATTAGGGATACAATTTTAGTAGTAGCTGTGGGTGGCAACTGGCCCTAAATCCAAATTTCAATTCCTTTCCAAACCACAACCAGAATTGGAAGTCTATAGTCCCATTTTCCCCCTCTCCAGCTTTGATAACAGGGTGTGTACCTATGAATGCACTACTTGAGGGAACAGAAAACATGTGCTTTTTGAGGGAAAAATGTTCCAGAAGAGAGGCCCCTGAGAGTACAGGCAGATGAAAACAAGTTCTTCTATGGCTCTTAGGACTCCAGAGAAGCTGGTGGAGACATCTAGGGTCTGAGTGACTGGGTGGAAGTAAGATGCAAACTCAAATATAGACTAAACATCTTAGGAGAACTAGGGCTTCCTTTGCAGGAAGCTTCCTCTCCTATGTGCTTTGCAAAATACACAGACATGAGCAACAAGCTCCCGAACACCTCTCAATTTTGTTCCTTAACAGCAAGAATGCTAAAACAGAAAAAAAAAAAAAAAAAAAACTGCCCCAAGGGGAAAAATTTTTAATAGTCCTTTTTACAAAAATCAGAAAGTGGGGCCGGGGAGATGGTTCAGTGGAATAAGTGCTTCCCTGGCAAGCACAAGGGCCTGAGTTCAATCCCTGGTCCTGAAAAAAGAATCAGAAAGAAGTTGAGTCTAAACATGAAATTCTTGCAGTCAGCCTGAAAATTGTAAAATGGATGACATTGGACATGAAAATGAATTACAAGACCTCTTAAACAGAGCACGATACTAATGTTGATTGAATTCTTAGCAAAATGCTCATGATTGTAGAGTTTCTTCCAAAGCTATTATCCATAAGGCAATGAGACACTCTTGAGAACAATTTCACTTGTAATCTACAGTAGCTCAGGTCTGCACTGGGCTGGCACAGGAGCAGCTAGCAGGCCTGCCAGATACAGTCCATGCTGCAAACACATGTGCTTGCTGTTGGCAGATGGGCTGCAGAGAGGCCCAGGAGTGGAAGCTGAGGGGCTGGGGAGGGAGGCCAGTGCTCACTGGGGCAGCGCTCTGAGTGGGTTTCTGTCTCTCTATCCCCAGTAAGTTGAGTGAGCACATATCTGTGCTCATATAGGTCTTCTGCTTACTCTGTGGGTATGTTCATTTCTTCCTCCATCTAGACCTTTCTGAAGGAAGCTAAGCAAAGCAGTTGCTGATTTTCAATTGTAGATCAATTTAACTTGACTTACAACTAACGACACCTCAAACTCTTCTCAATAATGCCAATTATTTAAAATCATTTATTCATATTATGTACTGAAAATTGAAGGATACTGTACATCTAAGCACTACTGGATATATAAAGCTGGACATTACACGAGCTCTTCAATCAAGAAATTCAGGAAGATAGGCTTATAAACAAATTGCAAATGTAGTATGCTGAAGAAGAAGAGAAGATGAAATGAAAAAAGGATTAAGAGGACGTAGGCATGTGTGCCAATTCCCTATGATGAATGTTTTGACTATGTATCACAAACATGTACTAATAAAAATAAATTTAAAAAATAAGTAAAACATAGCACAGCAAATGCTACCATGTGTCAGAGATAAAAAGGTCTAATAGTGGTGTGAGATGAGCAACCAAACCAGTAGGAGTCAGGGAAGGCTTGAAGGAGAGAAGTACCACAAAGCATCTCAAATGCATTCATGCACGCTCAGCCACAGCCTCTTGTTGTGTAGGGCCCTTTTTCAGATGATAAACTTTTGATGATACTGTGAAGCAGTATACCTTGGAGTGTGGTTTAGCTAAAGTTATCAGTTTCAGAGGTGATGGTTCCTGATGAGTAAATGCTTTATTCTGCTTTTGGGTTTTGTTTTTGCTTTTTTCTGATGAAGAAAGATGGCGTACTTTGCAGGAAATTTACACATTTTCTGTGATTTTAAAGACAGATTTTAAAAAAAAATAAACAAGAAACAAATTTTCAAAATGAGCATAAGGTCCGATTTTGAGATTAAACAGATAGCATTTGTCGTTTCAGGCTTTCTTCTAAGTCTAGAAATTGTGTAGGCTGTATAAGCATGAAAGAGTTTCCCAGTAGGTGAGGCATTTTCTGGTTATTTTTCCATGCTGTGGAATCTTAGAGAAGTCACATGTATAAAATTTAGCTTTCTCAATGTGAAGACAAATTGTAGTCCAAGCTGCACAGATACTGCTGTGCACAGGGTGGCAGAAGGCCAGAAGAGCACCCTGGCCATGAACCGCAACCTTTGAACTTCATGCATGCACAAGGTAATTTGATTTGTGTGGGGTGTTCATATCACTACAAAACTCAGCGCTTCATTATGAAGTACCGTTAAATGGAGATGAATGTTCTGAAGTGGCCTTTGCATCAGATGAAGGTATGATTCCTAGGTAAATTATAGAAACTCAGATACCGAAGGGACTCATATTTGTCATCCCCATTTCTCTGGCATCCTCCCCAACCCTCATTTTCTTCTGTTTGTCCTGAGACAGACATTTTCTTAGTCTCTTTGGGTTCCCAACTCATAAACTCACAAGATATTCCTGGATCTTCTCCCTCTCTCCCGCTCTTAACACAGTATTAAATATTAGCAACAAAGGTCCGTGGATCGACCTCCATAGCTGGCCTTTCTGACATGGCCTCCTCTGTGCTTATTTCCCTAATACATTCAGGGAGCTGCTCTGGGCAGCCATCTGGTCTCCCACGAATGATTTCTCAGTTGCCATTGACTCAAGACTTGCAGTGAGCCAGACTCTAGATTGTCTGAGAATGCTTTTTCTCAAGCATATATTTTATCACATAAAGTTGTGTAAAAATGCTGTAGGGAGCACTTTTACTTATCATGTAGGAAAAACATTTTAAAATAAATTTTGATGAAAGTCATCTTTGGCAAGATTACAAGGATCATAGTCATTTTCACACACTGATGCTAGGGCTATTGGATATCTATATTTTTTCTGGGCACTTTTTATTATTATTCAACATTAAAAATATTTCTGTTAAACAATTCCATCACTGTTAATTGTATTTTAGTATTTCTAAGAACAAGATTTGTAAATGACCTACATATTTATCAATATAACTTTGTATAAATTTGAAGTGTCCAAGTGACGGAGCTCCTAAAAATAAAAGCTTGTCAAAATACATTCTTTGTGGAATATCTTCAAGGTATCTTGCTAATAGGAAAATAAGGTGCGGAAAATAATGTGAAGAATGATATATTTGTATTACAATATTTATTTTATTTTTTCATATGCATATAAAAAGTGCATGTGTATATATAAAGCACTGCACCCTACCTACTCACAACATGGGTCATGAAACCAAACCTGTCAGGCTAAAATTATGACCTAAAACATTTTATT